GCTGGCGACTCACGGCAGCCCAGCTCCAGGTTGAGCTGTTGTTCAGCATCTTAGCTGTAGAGGGCAGTGTCACTGGCCCTCATATGTGGGATCCGAACCGGGGTCCTCTGGTGTCCCAAGCCAGTTCTTAACCATCGCACCACTTGGCTGGCCCTTGAGTTGCTTTTCAATAGTGAAGGATCACACAGAAATAGATTGAGCATTTCAGATGTGTTATAAGCTTTTGTTAAAACAATATAAACCCCAATTAAGTTGAAGTCTCTGAGGGAAGTAAGGTGGCTGAAGAGGGGCTAGAATGAGGTGAGGCTAGCACTGATGTACCTGGATGTCAGAGGACGCCGGGCTAGTAATGGGAGTAACAGAAGGTATGGATGGATGAAGATGACATGGACCTCTCTGATGATGGCTACACCCCTTCCACCAGGAGATCCTAAAAAATTTGGTGGAAGTGTTATGGAAGCAACAACAGGTAGTTCCGAAATCTCTAAGTAGGGCTTTGAGATCCGGTAAGGATCCCAATCTACTGGTTCTAGAACTCTTCCCAAGACAGTTCATGAAGTGTCTCTAAAAACTAGTGTTAGAAACATAAACATAAAATACACATCCAATCTATCTTCAGTCCTTGAGGTCGGCCCACAGATACAAGGGTGGACCCAGGGGGTAAAGTGTATCCATTCAGTGCTCAAGTCAGTTTGGAAATATTGTATGGTAGGTGCTTCCACCCACTCTCTCACCTTTCCACTAGTGCTGTATGGTGGGTTATTCAGATTACAGGGTGTCAGGCACAGGCCTTTAGCAGGGACTGAGCACAAAAGTGAGCATGGTACCCTTTACTGCTAGTGTCTTCTTGCACAATAATGGGAGTCCATCCTTTCTCCACGAGGCCTCTGTAGTCTTTTGGAGGGCTGTAATAAGGCCATTTCCTCATATACAGTTAGCTAGGATCCCCCCTGATTTTTAGTTACCTAATCACTATGCAGAACCAAGTAAAGTATCCCAGGACACCTTAATTTAAACAACCTGACCTAGAAATTCCCATATGGCCACCAGATTTTAGCTCTGAAAGTAAAGGCCTGCTGAATCATTTAGCTCCTAAGAAACAAACTATAACACATCCTTATTTCCAGGTCAGACTCATTTTTTTCTTTTTCTGTCTTGGTATCTGTCCCCGAGTTTGTGACTATACTCGTTTTTTCTTGAGGGGCCGTTAATCATAAAGACCTGTGGGTGGTCAAAGAACTTAATTTGCACTAATGACTATCCTCCTATAATGGCTCATCACAAAAACATTTACACACCCAATCATGATCTTCCAAATACAGAAGCTAATTACAGTCAAAGTTTCATATACTTCAATTTAACCTTTAAGGCACTTGACTCGGTCATCCAACAAACATTAACGAAAGGCCCACCGTGTACCATTACGGAGTATATATCTGATGAATCCCCAGTCATTTAGGCAAAAGGGAAGATAAACTTCGTAAATAGATAAATTACAATAAAATATGATGAATGCTATTTTAAAAGGTAAGTGTAATGTTATAGCAGAAGGAAGAAAGAGACTGCTTGAAGGCCAGGTAGGAAGCTCAAGAAAGACTTGATAGACATGAGTGATTTGGGCTGGATATGAAGGATGAATAAAAGTTTACCACATGGGAGGGAGCTGGACCAGATGGGCATCTCAGGCAGAGGGAATTTCAGTGCAAGGGGCAGGGTAAAGTCGGTGTAGGCTGATGATGCATGGGATGGAGTGGAAGAGAGGAAACAGAAATTCTGGTTCTGCTGAGGATTACTGAGTATTGGTCCTTATTGCCAGCCTACACACCGTTATTGATGTTTATAAGAGTTATTATGCAAAAAAGAACCTAGACCTTATGTGCCTGGTGCATAATAAACAGTACATATATTTTGCTTTCACTATTATTATGTGCGCTTAGGTGCCATGTTCACCACCATTTTATTCCCAAGGTTGACAATAATAAATATTTGTGGAATGAAGAACTTGCTTTTTAAGCAAGAAATGGAGATGGAGCTGATTCTCATAATGTACATCCAGCAGAAAGGTGAAGGGGAAGTGTTTTCTCCAGGATTGCTTCAGTCACTGAAGGTCATTCCACTTTTCCCAGTAGTCTCCCAAATCTATGCTGGGGAGGGTAGATCACTAGGTCAAAAATAACAATCATAAAGCTGGCATTTTCAGTTTACTTGTATTATCCTTACAATAACTGCAGTCTTTAAATCCAAAACTTTTCATCTCTTTTCTGAATCCTATTTCGAGATAACAACCTGAAATTCTTATCTCTGGATCTGGGCTCCCAGTAATCACCACAGAGAAGCTCAGGAGAGAATTTAAGCCACTGTCTGAGGCACTGCCCATACCTGCCCTAAACTGACTCCTTCATGTACTCTCTTCATTAATCTCAACAAATAGGCAGGAATGAAAACATAAAGGCTGTAAAGGTGGTACCTTTACTTTCTAAACCTAAAATTACTTTGCAAAATCACTGTCTAGCCTCAATTTAATTCAATTCAGTTGAATTCCACATCTACCGAGAAAGGTCCTATAGGTTGCAGATGTCCCAAAGCATCCTTATTCCATATCACTGGACTGGAAATTAGGATATCAGATTTTTATAATAACTGTGGGTTTGCGGATAACTACCTGGATGGCACTGAGCAAGTCACTTCATCTCTTTGAGCATCAGGTGCTTCATTTGTAAAATGAAGGGGTTAGAATGGATGATGTCAGAGTTCTTCCCAGCTCTAACATTCTATCATTCTCAAATGGGAAATAGCATCGATATCACTTTAACTATCTATTTCTGTATTTCAAAGCTAGTAAATCCTAGAGTTTTTCTCAGAGGCATGTTTTGGGTTAGCAAATTGCCCAGTTTTCTATAGTTTGACTACAGAGGAATGGGAAAGACAGCCCACAATCTTTATTCTTGCAAAAATATGTGAGTGCCTACTATGTACGAGGCACTACACTATTCCAGTCACTGTCCCAGCACTGTACAAAGCGAACAAGCTCACTCCTCTCAGGGTCCTTGTGCTTTAGTTAATCCACCCCACAACAAATAAACCTTTGACTGCTTTAGATGGCAGAAACAATGATCTGTTAGGTTTGTCTTCTGTGTTGTGATACATGTGTGGCTGGCTATCTGTGAATTAGCAAAACAATGTTAAAATGCATAAAAAAAAAAAATACCTGTTTTCAATTTCTCCATTGACCAGGCAAATAACTAGGTAGATTTTCTTGAAGTTTTAAAAGAAGTAACTCCTGGCTTGTGAATTGATTGAGAAAAATTCATATACGAATTCAGTAAAATTTTAAGACATTAAACAAAAGGGTTTAAATGTTTCCTGCAGCACTGGAATTTAATTTTCTCTTTTTCTGGGGCTGATTTTTTAAAATGGGGTTTTAGATACAAAACAGAGAGCACTGCCCTACTCTTCCACAGCACATGCGATGCGTCTACAACAGAAACATGATGGTTACCCGCATTTCAAAAAAGTCATCTTTACAAGCTGTAAAATAAATACATAAATAAAATGGGCCAACAAACCGAGCCTGGGGCTGGGAGGATGTACTGGTGGGTACTAGGTCTAGATCTAGTAAAATAGAACCGATGATTCCACGTAAGTATGTTACTGATACAGAATTTTAAAGCTGGAAGGACTTTAGCCCCTGGTTTTATAAACGAGAAACCTGAGACTCAAAGACATAAAGTGACTTGGCTAAGTCAAAGCCAAGATACTTGTTAGCAGCAAAGCTGTAATAAGAATCCAGGTCTGCAGATTCCCTGTTCAGGAATTCAGTTCTACATGAACTGAGTTTTAGCAAGTTAAGAATAGCGAGACGCTACCCTTTACGGTTGACCGACACTGTTTAAGATTAAATGTAGGACGCCTATTGTTTGTAGTGTCTTTCTCCAACAGGCTATACAATCTTGTATTACTTATGAAAGGTTTAGATACATTTTTGGATGAAATATCTAGAACAGATATATTCTACTTAGAAACAGGTCATAGTCAAAATCTCATGTGTAAGTAGCCTGTTCAGAATTTGGCATCCTTTCCCACCAAAGAGAATTAACAAATTATGAGCTTGTTTCAGCAGGTATGGTTGAACTAATATGAATGATATCCCAAGAAGCACCATGAATTGGGCCCAGACCCCTTTGAGACCTAGAGGCTGCTGGAGTGGCTGGGTACCTCCAGTGGTGCTGCAAGCCAGGGGGGAAGTTCCTAAACCACCGATTCCTAAATCAGGGAGTGCTTGTATTAAGAATAATTAAAAATACCTAAAAACTCAATAAGCCTTTTGAGGTCAGGGTCACAGATGATAATCATGCCTCATCCAAAAGTCTCTTGGACACAACAGTGGAGAAATCAGTGAGGCCAGAATGGTCTGTACTTGAACTCTCGGCTTTTCTAGAATCAGAATTCAACACTTTCAGGGCGGAGAATGAGTAAAAGAAAAGCCATCAAATACCCTTCCACTTTACACTCAAGAAGTGACTCCAATCTTTCTCCGATTTTCCCCATATGTAGGTTCCTAGTTTGGGAATAATATTCTAGGTAAACTCCTGGAAAACTTTTAAAAACAACGTCATGGCGATTTTGTAAATTTAACGTGGGTTTCTTGAAATCTAAACTGACAGGGCACCAATGCAAGCATAATTTGCAAATTTGGTGTTAGCAGCTTGATTTTCCTTGGACCTCCAGGCGGTTTCAGGTAAATTCGAGTTCCTCCTAAAACAAAGTCCCCTAAGTAAATTAACTCCCATTCTCAAGTCTTGGCCTCAGGGCGGATGGTGGTGGTCAAAGGAAGCTCTCAAGGTTAGGGGCTTTCTCCAACTCAGAGAGGTCTCGCGGGGGAAAGAGGCTGGTTTCGGGGGCCCGAACCTGCCTGGGGGAGGCCCAGGGGCGCGCGCCCACCGGCCGGCTCTCGGGGACCCCGGCGCGCCTCCCCGCCCTCCCAGGCTCGTCACGCTTACCGAGGTGGCCGCCGACGATGGTGACGGCGATCTGGTCCATGAGCACCGCCCGGAAGCGCACGTCCTGCTCGGAGCAGCGCTGCCGGAGGGCGCGCAGGATCTGCACCTGCGGGTAGTCCTCACGGATGCGCCGGTCCGTCAGGAACCAGAGCTGGGAGCACATGGCGGCCAGGACGGCGGCGCCCGGCGCGGCGCGGACCCCCTGGCCTCCCCGGACCACTAGCTCTGGCAGGCCGGCGAGCGCGCGCCGCGGCTCCGCTCCCGCCGGTGCGCCAGGCGCCTCTGCAGCCCTGACCCAGCGAATCTGCGGGCCACTCAACGCCGCCGCCGGCCCCGGCCAGCCAATCAGCGCGCGGTGGCGGGCGCGG